GCAGCCCCGCGCATGGGCGCCGCGCCGCAGGGGGCCTGACCCCCGCCAGCTCCGCGCCATGGCAGCCCGCGCGCCCCCCGCCGCACCTGCGGCGGAGGAGTCTGGGGGCCCGGGTGGTCCCCCGCGCAGGAAAAAGTCCCGATCGGGCGCGTCCGGCCTCCGCCGTGCCTTCAGCTGGCTGCGGGGCAAGCGGCGCAAGAAGAAGACTGGGGGCACCGAGGGCGCGGAGGCGGCTGCCCTTCGCGCGAAGAAGGCGGACGACAAGACCAAGAAGGCCAAGGGCAAAGGCCGAGGTGAGACGGCCGGACACCTGGGCTGGGCCGAGCGCTGGGCGCCCAGGAGGTTGCAGGGTGGCTCCGCGGGGTGGCGGAGGGGCTGACCCTCAGCTCTGGTGGTCCGCGAGCAAACAGCCCCAAGCACAGCCGGAGACCCCCCTACCCCCAACCCCCACCCCCTCAGAGTGGCTGGAGACCCCGCTGTCGGCCGAGGCAGGGATCCTCAGACTTCGGTAGGAAGTGCTACTCCAGCCAGGCGATTGATTACCCATCCGGCAGTCAGGCTCACCCAGGTTCTGCCCTGTGCTGAGTCAGGGGGTCGGAGACTTGACTCTGGACCGGGGCCAGTGGGAGAGGTAGGTGGCCCTGGGTCTTTGGTGAGGGTCCTTCTGGTCCGGAAAGCCAATTGCACTCAAAAGGACTTTCTGTCCTCCAGGTGTGCAGGTAGGTCTGGGTTTCCAGCTCTACAAAGGACCCATCTTGTTGCTTAGCATACCTTAGGTCGTCAGTGTTAGCTTTTCCCACCTGATCACTGCCTCCCCAAACACACCTGGGCCAAACCGCAAACATCCACCTCCTGGGGTGTTGAACTCACCGTCTGCCCCCTTAGAGAACCAGCAGCCCCTCCCCATCTCTCCTTCCTCCATCCCTAATAGGTACCTGCAAGGGCTTGTAGGTTGTGCTTACAGATGGGGGAAACTGAGTCCCCCCCCCGGCTCCCCCCCAATTGCTAATTGCGGAGGCTGTACCTGGGTTTGAGCCCCTGATTCCCTCCTCAGGTGTGAAGGGTCTGAGAGGACGGAAAGTTGACCGGGCTCCTCACTTTACTCTCAGCCCCTTGCTTGGTGTTTTGCTATTTCCCTGTTTTTTGTCTTCTGTTGGGTGGGGAAGGCTTTGGCTTCTGCAGGAGGGTGGGGCTGGCAGCTTTGGAAGTCTACTTTTCTTTTGCTCCTGCTGCGGTGTTGGAGGTGAGGAAATAAATGGCTGGGGTGTGTGCGCTCATCCCATGCCTCTTGTTTACCCTTCTGGTGTCCTTTAACCACCTCCTCTGGAGCAAAAGTAGAAGGAACACTTTAGGGGTCAGGAAGAGGATGGAAAGCCTGTTGTGCGATTGCATCCGGCATGATCTTCCTTTTGGATAAGGGCCCAGCCACCCTGAAGGCCCAGCCACAAAGAGAAGCCTGGGTGTTGGGGCTGGGGTGGTTGGGCCAAGACCTGAGGGGAGGTTTGGGTGAGGAGTGTTTTCAAAGGCTCTGCAGCCCTCACGTGGGGGGCTGGGAGCCCTGAGTCCCAGGACTTCTCCACTGGAGTTTAGCATGAAGTTATCCTCATCTCAGGAGGGCATAGGTCAGAACTGCAGCAGGATGGATTGTGGTCAGACTATCAGAGTTAGCAGGCAGAAGGTTAGTGGGCTGTTGCTGTACTCAGGGGCAATGAACCCTTCCTCCCAGGGATCCTACCTGGAGGTAAGGGGCTGAAAGTATGATAAGCCTGTAGGTCCTTCCTCCAACAGCCTGGGCTTGGGGTCATGGGCTCAGTGGCCAGGTCTCCTTTGCCTGTTTGGTATTGGGTGGCACTAGGCTTTCTGGGCAGCAGGTCAGCCTGATTGAGCCCACGTGCATGGGCAGCAACCTCTGCTCCTAGCTATTGTTTTCCCTGTTCTGGAGGTGGCCCCAGGTATGGCTGAGGGAAGTCTTGTTCCTTTTTGCTCCTGCCTTCTATTATTGTAATTGTTTCCTCGTCACCTGCCTGGACCAGCTTTTCTGTTGATTAAGAGAAACAAAAATCTGATCTCTTTAATCTCCACTGGGACTGCTGGCCAGGTAGGGGGAGCCCAAGGAATGATTAACTCTTTCAGAGAGAATGTTCAGTATGGAGATTAGGGAGATGGAGAAGAAAGTATACACAGAAAATTCCTGGGAGGTCAGGGACTTTGCTGGGAAATTTCTCTTTCATTCCAGTTTTTGAACCAAAGACCTAACAGATGCAGGTCCTATTTTCTGTCATCTGACTTTCCCTAATAGGAGATGGGAAACTCAGCTTGTAATGGAATTTTTGACTCTAGTCTTTCACGATTCCCCTGCTTTCCTCATTGCCCTGCACAGATTTAGCAGAAGAGGAAATCTGACATTTATTATTCTGAATGTGTCAAGAATCCCTGTGTTCATTATCTCATGAGATCCCGTTTGCAGTTGAAAAAAACTGAGGCTCAGGAACAGTGCATGATTGATTTGACCAAACTGAGATCTACGCCCAAGTCACCTGACTCCCCAAACTGGTACAGTACTATTTTAATGACTCTGAAGGATACAGAATGGGGGTGAGGCCTAACAGTCTTCTGGTCCAACTCATTCTGCAGATGGAAGATGGCTCAAGAGAGAAGTGAAGGGACTTGAACCGGGAGATGGCTCAGTGGAATAAGCGCTTCCCTGGCCAGTGCAAGGGCCTGAGTTGAATCCCTAGTTCTGCAAGTGAAGGGACTTGATAGAGTCGGGAAGGTATCCATTGGGTAAATGAAAGTTTATACTTTGGCTCAGCTTCTCTAAAGCCCCATGACACTGGATAAGTGACTTCCCTTTAGGCTCACAGAGTCCATGGCTATCTTACCGGGAAGGAGAGGACTTTCTCACCTGGATGACTGAGCCTCTGAATCTGAACATGAGTCTGTGACCTTTCTCTCTCCAAGATTCTCAAATAATAAAAATTATTAAAGAGAAGTCACTCTAGAAACCCAAAGCATTGCTATTACTGTGTTTATGTTTAATCACCCCTCCAGATCTCACTTCCCTTATCTGAAAAACAAGGATCATAAGCCCTGGCTTTACAGGGGTGTGTGAAGGCTCTAGTTAGGTAGCAGACGTGAAAGTGCTTTATGAACTGAGGAACATGGCCCAATAGTAGCCGGTCTCTGCTGTGGTGAAGCTGAAGACTTGGGCATTAGCTAAATTCATCCTGATCCATGTTTCGAGAATGGCTCATTGGTTATACCTTTAACCCATACTGATGTGTATTACTGAGGGGCATTCATAGAAGGCAGCAGAATCTTATCCTTGCCTGAGGACTCAGATGTTAAAAAAAAAAGTTAAATAAAATGCCTCCCCCCCCAATCTATATTTTCCAGAAATATCACCTGGACTCTAGACAAGTGTGTGGGGAGGAAGTGTTTCTGGCGTTTCTGGGATTAATGCCAGGGCTGGGGCCAGGCAGGTAATCAGGGGAGGCTTTCTGGAGGTGGTAACCTGGGTGGGGAAGGCGAGGAGAAGTAACAGGAAGGCTGCTGCTTGTCAGGGTGATAGGTCATCTTCTGTTATCCTCATAGCAGCCTGGGAAGTGAGCAGTTATTGCCACATACAGGGGATGAAAAGGCCCTCCTAGAGGATGCAGGCAATTTGCTTAAGGTTACTGCGCTTCAAGTTTTATGTTCCTATGCAGTGTTGTGTCAGGCCTTGTTCAAGGTGATGAGCATACCTGAGGATAGGACAGCTGAAGTCCCTGCCCCTGAGGTAGTGATGTCACAGCATGGCAGTGACAGCTGCTCAATCTGTGCCCAAGGCTACACTCCCCAAACAAAATATGAGGCTGTTTGCTGAATTTATTTTTTTATTTTGGTATCAGGGGTTGAACTCAGGACCTTGCGCTTGCCAGGCAGGCACTTATGTCACTGAGCTATCTCCCTGGCAGTTGGCCAAATTTCTGACTGTGGAAGTATTAACCATTGTAGAGACTTGGAAGGAACTGCCTTTGGGGAAAAGGACCAAGTCACACCCAGGGTTTCTCTCAGGCAATTGCTGAAGGTAGAAGTGGAGATGGTTCTGGTTTTGAGAATTCAGGAGCCACCCTGGATCCTGTGTTTCCTCTGGCCAACCACCAGAGGAGATCTGGACTTGGCACTGGGCTGTGAAAAGATCAAGTTAGAGAGCTGCTCTGCTGTGTGGCAGTAAGCCTGCCTTGCTCTGGGCCAGCCATGAAATGCTGGTGGTTCTCAGAGCCTGTGCTTTTCAGAGTGCCTTGGAGGCCCAAGTTTAGGGCTGAGGGCTAAGCACAGGGATGAAGCTGTGTCCAGAAAGGGAGAGCCTCTCTTTCTCTGTGTCCAGACAAGAGAAGGCGTGGCCTGGACATCATAGGACAGTGTGCACTCCATGTAGTTTTACATTCCTTGTCTTTGCATATGCTGCTCCCCTGCCTAGCACATGGTTCCTTTCACTTTTCAATCAGTGAATTCCTAGTGAGGCATGGTGGTGCATGCCTTTAATCCCAGGACTGAGGCAGAAGGATTACCATGAGTTTGAGGGCCAGCCTGAGCTGTCTGGTGAGTTTGAGGGCCAGCCTGAGCTGTCTGGTGAGTTTAAGGCCAGTCTGAATTGTCTCAAAAACAAAAACAGTAACAGGCAATTCAGTGAACTCCTGTTCACCTCTCAAGGCCCAGTTCTAGTATCCTCACCTCTATATGATGCTTTCAGGGGAAACTGCTGTCCCCAGATTCTACAGCAGGTTGTTTAAGAGATTTGGAGTTCAGCAAATTTATGGCTACCTTCTTCTTTTTTTTTGGGGGGGGGGTGCAGAACTGGGATTGAACTCAGACTCTTGTGCTTGACAGGCAAGCGCTTATTCTGCTGAGCCATCTCCCTGTCCCCCTACCTTCTTCTTAGGTAAAGACATCTCAATCCCCTTAGCTTGGGACCTGAGCCAGTGTATGTAATGGCAGCAGGGTTCCCTTTGTTTTGTGATACATCAGTAGAGATGAGTCTGGGGATTTCAACAAAAATGTGACAAGGTGGCTGCACTGCCTACCTCCTCCCAGCTGCAGTTCAAGGATGGGTATTGTCTACCTTGGGTCCAGAGAAAAGGAGTCTCACTCATTTATTAAGTACGTACAATGTCCTGGACACTGTCCCCGGGGATAACAAGAGAGCCAAGGTCCTAGTCCTCCCAAACCAACCTTGTAATTTGAATGTGTTGACCAGATGTTGAACAAGTACTAAAGGGGACCTCTGAGGGAGATCAGGGATGGCTTCCCT